ATAACTATAATATTAGCCGACGCGTTTTGTCCAATGTGGACTTTTTCAAGGCAAAAACGAAATGAATTTATTAAAACAAAGTAACAAATAATAATAAAACAAAATGTCCTTAGCAACTAGAAGAATTTAGAAAACGCTATTATATTCATATTGTCAACTGAAAATTACGTCAAGTACTGTCACGTGTGGAAATATTGTTTTTATTGTTGTGTTGATGGATTCAACCATTTTCTTTTGATTTCTTTATACAGTTGTGTACGTTTGTTTGGAAGAGTCTTAATTCTGTTAGGAAAGGTGAGATAGGGAAAAAGCCTGGCCTAGATTAATATTTTCCATATATATATATATATATATATATATATATATATATATATATATATATATATATATATAAAGAAAGAAAGAACAGTAAGATATATAATCCGGTGTTCTTATTGATATTTTTTATTTTTTTTATTTTTACAAAACAGTGCTGAATGTAAATTTACATAGCATAAATATTATAAATTAACTGATTTAAAATTTAGTTTTTTCGATACACATTAATAACCATGCTTAAAAAATGGAAGCTAAAAACTTTAAATTTAATTATATAATTAAATTAAATGCATTAATTCTTTATCTATATAATATCTTTCTAATTTATTTATCTAGAAAGATATTATATAAAGAATTTAAAAGCCTGAACTTAAAAATTACGGTAAGCACTAAATTTAAAAATGTTAACTTCCTTGATATAACATTAGATTAAACGAAAAATGTATACATATCTTATAAAAAACCTAATACTAATCCTTTATATATACACCCTAAATCTAATCATCCTCCGTCTATAATTAAGCATATACCTTTATCTATCAAAAAAAGAATAAGTACAAATTCAGCAAGTGAGAAGATTTTCTATGAACATATTAATTTCTATAATGAAGCTCTAAAAGATAGCGACTGCAAAAACCCAGAACTAACTTATATATAAAAAAAAGTAACTGGAAAGCATACAAAAAACAGAAGTAGAAAAATAATTTGGTATACAACTCCCCCCCATACAACCAAATGGTAAATAAAAAATTCTTTGTATTAATAGTTAAGTACTTTCCTAGAGAAAGTATACTAAGTACTATTTTCACTAAAAATACACTAAAATTAAGTTACATCTGTACTGAAAACATAGAAAAAATTAAGAAACATCATGCTAATATCTTCAATAAACACTTAGATCAAAACCAAAGAAAGTTAGACAATATAAAAATAAAAATAAAAACAGATGAAGATAAACAAAAATTATGTAACTGTAGGAATCCTCATAACTGTCCTCTACAAAATAAATGTCGCACGGAATCATTATATACCAATGCAATATCTCATCTATTGAGAATCCTGAAAACAAAAATCTATATAAGGTTGCACAAGTCATGAGTTCAAAAAGAGGTTCAATCAACACCAAACATCATTTAGGATAAATAAATACAGAAATCAGACATCGCTTTCAAACTATTTCTGGCACTGATAAAACACCTAGAGTAAAATTAATAAGAAAAGCTAGAATATGTAGGTCATTAAATGACCCATGCCCTTTGAGAATACATGAGAAACTATATATTACTAAGTTTATAAAAAATAAAAATTTACTAAATCAGAGAAATTAAATGGCTATTTTTTTCCGTCAGTGTCAAGAATTTTCCTTAAATAATATTTAAAAATAAAATAAAAAAATGAGAGCTGGTAATATACATACTTATATTTGATATGAAAAAATTAATTTAAGAAATGTAATTCTATTACATTTACTTGTTTTTAAAAAGAAATATAGTCTGTTAGTCATTAAGAGTAAAAATATTTTAAAATTGTACTTAAATAAAACGTATTCTAACCCAAACACCCCCAGAAAGAATCTTTAAGTATACACAAGTAAGAAAAAATGACGAAAAACTTTTTGCCGTTAATAATAATAAAAACCCAGATGACATGCATTTAACGGATGTCAGAATTCGTTGAAAAATACACCCCTACCCTTCCTAAATTTAACCTCTTTTACGAACGTAACTCATAATTGATACAACAATAGTTAATAGAAGTGAACACGCTACCGCCCCTGTCCGAATGATTGGATTTCTCTGTATCCTTGGAAACAGTAAATTATGATTTTATATGTGCGTTTAAAAGTCAGTAATTTAAAAAATAAGTTATTCCAATATTCGCTTGAAGATGAAACGGAACTAATGCTTTTAATTTAATTATATAATTAATTTTGAAGTTTTTAGCTTCCATTTTTGAAATATAGTTATTACTGTGTAGCGAAAAAAACATATTTTAAATGACTTAATTTATAATATATATATATATATATATATATATATATATATATATATATATATATATATATTCAAATATGTTTCATTGAATAATATTTTTTAACGCAATTAATCTCAGTATTTTCAAAAGATTTTCAGGGGTAATTTGCAACAAAAAGCTTTCGACCTTTTCTAAGATCATCTTCAGGAGAAAATTACAAGGACAAATCTATTGAAACTGCGATAAAAATACATTCCGTTGTGTTGGTGATTTTCATTATAGTTATTTTAATATTCAAAATTTATCCGTTGTACTTTTGGAATTTTTTGCAGAACAAGTGTTTTAATATAAGAAAGAATGGCCAGAAACTGAGAAAAATGGAAAATGGCTTTAAAATGTTATATGCACTTTAATATGTTGTTGCTATATTCATAATATATTTTGTTGAGTATCGGTTGATTTTGATATAGAGGTACTCGAAAATTTGGAGTTTTTGTTTATTTTATTATTTGAAAAATTTTGTTTATTATATATATATATATATATGTGTGTTTGCGTGTGTGTGAGTGCGTGTGTGTGTGTGTGCGTATACGTGTGTGTGGGAAAATGAGTTAAATAAAGAGATATGAGCAACCATATATGCGTGCGATTAAGTGCACATACAAATGAGCAAGTAAATATTTATTATTGTTTTGGCGTAGACAAAACAGAGCTAAAACGTATATATTAATAATTACGCATCTACCTACGCTTGCAGTACGACTCAGAGTTTCATGGCTTTCTCATTCGTCAGTTAGGAACTGTTCAATAACGTTGCTTTTTTTTATTCTGTGTCTCGTGGAAGCAACGCTATATTGTATGTAGATTCAAATTTTATAATTAAAAAATGTCGCTTGAAGATGGAACAGAGTTTGGTACTTTAATTCAATTTAATTCAAATAATTATATTGAAGTTTTTGGCTCTTGTTTTGAAACATGAGAACTCTTATGTAGCGATGGAATCATATTTTTGAATAAATCATTATATTTAGGCTCTACTTTTGTATCGAGCACTGTTTTTTAATAACAAAAATACTAAAGAACTTTGGATTATTTACCGAACGAGTTCTTTCCCATTTTCTATATATTTTCACACACACACACACACATATATATATATATATATATGTGTGTGTGTGTGTGTGTACTTTTAACTTTTTATATACTTTGAATACTTTTAACATGTACTACTGAAGTCCCATTGTATGATCACGGAAATAACGTATATGTGCAACGTGATGGTGTTTCAATGGGTTCACTTTTTAGTCTAACCTTCAGTAACTTCTACAGAGCCAACCTAGAAAATAATATATTTAGTACCACTAAAAAACCCTCCATCTACCTAAGATATGTAGATGATATACTTATTTTAGTTAAAAACATAGAAGAAATAAAGGAACTAAAAAAAATCTTTCAAAAAATCTCTTTCCTCAAGTTCGCTTATGAACTTAACAAATATAACAAAACCCTTTTCCTTGACATTTTAATAGATACAAATAACACATTTACTACCTTTCCTTATAAAAAACAACCAGCAAAAACTCTTGCACTCTCAACTATAAGTGTCTTGAAGTGTCTGACCAACTCTCTTGTTTACCTAAGTACTATTTCTACACTAGAAAACCGAGTGTTGAAAAATATTATATAGGGAGTACTAAAAATTCGTTTAGCACTAAGTAGTACCAACATATGTCTTTCACCAATAGTACATATAAAAGTAGAATATCACTTTCCAAATAATTTTGGAATTTAAAAGAGGTTATTAAAACTCCTACGGTTAAATAGAAAGTTGTTGTTTTTTTTAAGCTAGAACTTGAAAATCCTTAAATGAACCTTGCTTCTTATGCTTACACCGGAAATAAGAAATTATTAGATTTGCTGATAAAAATTCACTATTAAACCAAAGAAGTGAATTAAATATAAATTGTAGGTTTACAATATGTTTAAACTTTAAATTTTGTAGTATGGTCATAATCAATAAATAAATTGCAGTGAACCTTGTATGAATGATTATTTTATTTTTCTTATTCGAATTTAAGATAACTATATATTGCTGTTTAGTCGGCATTATCAATATCGTGTATGAATAGTACACATTTTTTTATATTTTTAAACACTTAAGCTGCCTTAGCAAGTTACATTTATTTCATAATTATGATACATGGTTACCACCCACTTATAATTTGTATTAATTTCTTGTCTGGCACTCATGACCTTGACTTGGATTATATTTCAAACCACAGTTGACCATGATCAAAATTTCGCTATTTTAATGTAGATCTAACACATAATTGGTTAATCAGGGTACACCCAAAAGCCTCATTTTGATTTTGATTTGTTGTTATCTGCTTTTGAAATTCAAAAATAATTTTTTACTTACCAGTTATTTATCATTGCCTGAGAAGGAAAAATTTGAGTGTTGAAACATGAAAGATTGTGTAGCGATTTTTACAGTTTTTGTTTTAATCTCGTATATATATATATGTGTGTGTGTGTGTGTGTGTGTGTGTGTGTGTGTGTGTGTGTGTGTGTGTGTGTATTATATGCTACACCACTCAATAAAAGGAGCCACTTAAAATACTAGAAGTTCTCATCATAAAAAATAAACACCCCAAATTAAATAAAATAATATTGACCATAACAGACTGTATTTGAAGACATGAATAATGTCAAATAGAAGATAGCTGTATGTCATCGAACAGTAGATTTCTATCCATAATCTCCAGAGATAGATAGATAGATAGATAGATAGATAGATAGATATGAATTGACTGAGATAGATAGATAGATAGATAGATAGATAGATAGATAGATATGAATTGACTGAGATAGATAGATAGATAGATAGATAGATAGATATTATTGTAAAATACAATAATTGTGGCACATGGCCTAAAATGTGGAGAGTGGGGTTGAGGTTGGTTATCCTTACCTATCCTATCCCTAGCTAATCCAATTCCCGACCCATTCATTCAATACAAAGAAACCATTCACCGAAAGAATTCACCCTTCACCTTTTACTCCTACATATACCACAATACCACATCCACAAAGGGAACCTAAAAATTAACACCATGATTTAAAATTTCTTATGTACAAATGTTCATAAAATATATATATATATATATATATATATATATATATATATATATATATATATATCTGACGATGATGTGAAATGATGGGGAGGGTTCTAAATCCCAATACAAAACATATATAAAACAGAAAATAATTGATGTTATCAGGACCCGTCCACCCCACAAAAAAAATCAGTTGCCGCTGTATTCTGTCATCAGACAGAATCAAGAGGCTAACTCTCTAGCGGAATGGGGGAGGTGAAAATTAAATGTAGGACGTGGGGAAATCAAAGACTGGACCAGTTGAGATGAAAAAGGGGGCCAAAACAAACTGGGGTGGTTGGGAATCTCAACTTGGCTCATAATAGAAGTAAGGAGCCGAGAACGACACTCACTCACATTAACTAGGTACGCAAAAGAGGGTCTGCCTTAACCAGGGGGATGGTTCTCAGGAAACCGTCCCGTTGTGACGAAAGAGGACTTAAAATAGGAACTCAAGAATAGCCCCTTTCACGCGAATCCAGCTCGCTACTTTTACCCATCTTTCGTTGAAATCTGTCGACAGCAAAAACTTTCTATCAGTTCTGATCTTCACTTTCACCTGATGCTGAAGGTATCTGATCAGAACCTGAGGAGAATAGCGTTCTTGTCGCAAGATCCCCTCCTTTCGCGTCATCCAGATCACCATTCTCCCCTCGGCTAGCAACGTTAGAAACACCATTCGTTTCACCCCAGAATACGGGGTCACACGTATGCGAGATCGATGAACACAAGCCGATGGGGAGCGATACGAGCCGTCAACTCACCAACATAGTCCCAGAAAGGGCGTACCTGAGGACAATGGCAGAAGGAATGCAAAGCCGTTTCTTCTAAAGCAAGGTCACACCGTTTAACAGTCGGGCAAATCCGCCCAGACCCATCTGAAAGCCATGTCGTTGAGAGACAGCACGTTACGGATCAATCGCCAGGTAAGCGAAAACTCAGGGTTACTGAGGTAATTCGCCGCTGGCGCCCAAGACCAGAAAGAGTGCAACTCGTCCACCGACAATCCAAGCCGTTCACAGAGACAGTCCTTCACGAACCCCTCCACTAATTCACGATACAAGAACTTTCGAGGCCGTGAAAGGTCACTGGACCGAGGAAAAGCCCTCAAGGCCGCTCGAAACTCGTTGAGGAAAGTCGACAGTTTCCCGAAACTAAGATGGCGCTTAGCCCAGGAAATGGGAGGAGTGATAGTAAGGCTAGGGAAGGCGTCCCTAACACTCCCCAGCAAAATCGAATCCTCTTTCAAGACGCGGTGTAGGAAAACCAACCTCGAGGCGTGTCGATGACTCATCATGTGCGGCAATTCCAGCCCCCATGACACAGACGTTGGACACAAGCTTCCTTACAGATCTTCAAGAGGGTGGACAACAAGCGCTCGATCGCTTTCCTATGATCCTTGCAAAGAGGAAGTACAGCCAAGCTGTAAAGGAGGAGAGGAAAGACGTATGTGGCACACGCCTCAGCTCTACCCTTCAAGGACAACCTCCTTCGAAGCCAAGTCCGAACCGACCTTTGCCTGTACTTATGACCAATTTTTCTCTCGCTGGAAGTCGGGTCCAAACCACACTCCGAGAATGCGGACAGAACCGTCCGTCTAAATGAAGGTTCCCAAGCACCTAACCGCAAGCCAGAAGACTTGTTATGGTTAATCTTCGCCCCTGTGACCTTTTCGTACCGTTCAAGCGCCATCTGTACCACCTCAATGGATACGTCATCGGCGTACGCGGAAACCCTGGCTCGAGCCCCACCAGAAACAGCGATTCAACGTAGGGCTGGACTGCAGGCCGCGTCTCTCAGCCGGCGAAGGAGAGGCTCCAACACTAAAGTGTAAAGTAGGGGCGACAGTGAGCAACCCTGACTTACCGACCGAGACAGCCGAAAAGCGCGCGACCGCTTTCCGTTCACCTGTACCACAGCACCGGGGGAGCAATACAGGAGGCTAATTCACTTGCAAAAGTCGGGTTGGAATCCGGCAGCCTGCAGGACAGCACCTAGATACCGATGGTCGACCCTATCAAATGCCTTGGACTGATTCAAATTGATCAACGCGGCTTGCTCGTCGTCTTTTACACCCTCTAGGATCGTGCGGATCAGATGCGGGTTGCTCTGAATTGTTCGGCCCTTCACAGCACAAGTCTGATCGGGTCCCAACAGACTCTTGGCAACTGACTGCAAACGCTCCGTCAGGATCTTGGCTAAAATCTTTAACTCTGTGTTCAGCAGAGTTATGGGCCTGTAATCTTATAAATCCTGCCAACCATCCTTGCCCTTTTTCAACAGCGTGATCACACCGCTGATATCCAACTGGGGATGGACCCCTGCTGAAACCAGTTGTTGAACACAGCAGTCAAAATCGGCACAAAGTTTTGCGACAGCCTCAAGTGAAATTCATTGGGTAAACTATCAAGTCCCGGAGACTTGCCACTGTCGGCACTCTTCAATGCCAAGTAGACTTCGCCCTCCGTGATCTCACCCTCGCAGTTAGCCGCTTTAGTCGGCGAAAACAGAGGAAAGTTATCCAAATAGCTGCGAAACACATCGCCACTGAGACCAGGCTCCTTGGTAAATCGTCTCTCGAAATGCCGCCAAAACGCCGGGCACATACCGTCAGTCGACCTCAGAGTACGTCCCTCCGGAGTTTTCACTTCACGAATGTCACGATCGGAACCTCGTCGGATCTCCTCCTGACGCAAGTGTTCGCTCATGTTCACGGCTTCGTTAGACATCTTGTTTAACCTATGTCTAGCTACCTGACCCTGGTAGCGCTCGCTAGTCGCGCGCTCCACGGCTTGCTTGGCTAAACCTATCTCTAGGGAGTCCCCCCAGCCTCCACCCCGGGACAGAATATCTTTAAGTGCCTTCACCTTCTTATCCTTATCTTGTACGAGCCGCTGGCTATATTCGGTGGTGAAGGACCTAATCCTATCCTTAAGCCTCTCCCACCACCTATTCCAAATGACCGCCCCCACTAGTTCCCGCTGCACTAGTCTAATTAGCTGTTGCTGGAAGTCCCGCCTGTCCAGTAAAAACAGATTGAACTTCCAGTGTCCAGCCATTCTAGGCCTAGAATCTAGCGCTATCTGGGTACAGACGAGTCTATGGTCCGAATAGCCTAACCAGTGGAACGTTGGAGAATCTAGCAGGTCTACATCGGCTCTTTTCACTATCATTCTATCCAGGTAGCTGGCCACCTGGGTAGACGACCACTTACGGACCCACGTCCACATCTTCCGCCCGGGGTGATCGACTCGGTATCTATCGACGAGACATACTTCGTCGATCAGATCAATCAGGCTACGATCACCCAATGACCTCCCACTGTCTTCGGGTCTAGGATGGCATTCCAGTCCCCCACTAAGACTAAACGCGAAGAATCGGCCAGGAACGGCCTAAAATGCCGAAAAAACGAGACACGCTCCACCTGATCGTTGGGCGCATAAACCGCAACAATCCGAAACGAACTACTGTTTACGGCAATATCAGCCACGATCAACCGCCCCCGCATCGACGTGGACAAGGTCCAACCCTCGCATCCAGGGTACGTTTAACCAGCAAGGAAACACCTCTGCCCGGCTGGTCCACGTATGTTGAATAGACAACATAGTCGCTAGACAGCACGCGTGCATCAACCTCGCAAGCAAAGGGCGTCTCCTGAATCGAAGCTACATCTACGCCGAACGACAAGAGATCACGAAGCAGGCGGGCCGCCTTACTCCGATTCCTCAAGCCCCTCGCATTTAACTAGCTATCTTGAGAAACATTTTTCAAGTTGATTCCCCTACTCACATTCTGGACGGAAATCTGCGGATGAAAGGACCTCGATGAATTGTCCCCGGCTCCCTGTCCCCATCTCTGTCGTTATACGACCATCTCGGACAATACTGCCAACGTCCGAGGGCTACGTTAGTTTTCCTGTATAATGAAAGGTGGAGGATTACTGGAACCCTCCCTACATAATATTTCTGTATCTTTCTCAGTTTCGGGGTTCCTATTTCCGCTATACGGTTCTCCAGAATGGCATAGAGTGGCAATAGAGTGATCCCACGCTATTAGATTTCGGCCTGTGCTCTTTATACATGTTATTACGCCAGCGGCCTTGGGGAAATGTCGGGGATCATCTGTAGCAAGTCCGTCTACTGACGCCATCTTTAACAAGGGCTTCAACAAAGCTCTTTTTTGCTTCGACATGCCTGATTCTATTGATGGCTTATCCCACGGCAAGACATTACCCCACTCGAGAATTTCTTCTTATGAGAAGTAGAATTCTCCTGGGAGGGGTGCTGGGCTTTGGAGATTTACTAAGCATTGTGCTGGTGGAAATGTTAGACATTTCTATGACGGTCGTCCTCGAGTATCGCATCCAGAGGTTGGCAGTGAATATTTCGGAGACAGTAGGAAAACGTAGTGGAGGTTCGCAGTGGATATCACAGCAGAGTGTAGATCATCCTTCGCCTTTGGTCCTTCCGGTAGGAGGAAACAAGATGGCCGCCTTTATACACTATGAATACAGTGTTGGGCGGCTTCTGATTGGTCAACCTTCTATTGGTCGACTATAAAGGGAAATAAGTCATTCTGACTCGCTCACTAGTTATATGCGCTATATACCCCAAAAACCGTAACATCCCCCCTTATTTTGGGTATATAATGGAATCTTCGTTCAAAATATTAGTAAGGTTAATAAATACTTTAATTCCAAAAAATTATTTGTTGTTTTTTTTTGTATTTTTTTTTGTATTTTTTCTTGCAATTAATATTAATACGTCAGAAATA